GGGCTGGCTGCCGAGTCCTGCCTCAGCCACCCACACCCCGGCCCAGGCCCTGCGGAGGCCGGCGCTGCCTTCAGAGCCGGTGGCCTTGGGAGAGGGAGCGGGCGGTGCTGCTCTCGAGGAGCCAGCGCAGGACGGGCCAGAGCAGGCCCAGGCAGGCAGCAGGCAGGTCCTGGAGGAGGGAGAGGCCCATGACCTCAGTGTGGTTCACACACAGCCTGCCTAAAGCAGCCTTCGGAAGGGGTCTCCCACTCCCGCTGCCCTGGGAGGCCTGAGGTGGGGAGAGGCGGGAGTCGGGGCCTGGGGAGGGCACAGAACAGACTGTTGAGGAACAGAAGGGGCAGGACGTGCTGAGACGGGAGGGGCAAGGACAGGCACCTCCCGTCTCAGCACAGGGAGGTGGGAGAAGGGCTGCCCTGCGCACTGGAGACTAGACGCGGCTGCTGGCGGTGTCACTTGAAGTGTCCCTCCTGCTGTCTGGGCTTTGGTGTTGCTCTCAGTGGTTCTCAGCCTTCCTAATGCCGCGACCCTTCAATACAGTTCCTCATGTTGTGATGACCCCCAACCATAAAATTATTTTCGCTGCTACTTCATAACTGTAATTTTGCTACTGTTATAAATCGTAATGTAAATATCTGATATGCAGGATGTGTTTTCATTGTTCGCGACCCACAGGTTGAGAACCGCTGCTAGGCAGTCCCTGAGCCCTCCCTGCTTGGCCAGCCCACGGGCCTGGGCTGTGTGGAGACTGGACCCCTTGCACCCCTTCTGTGGATCACCCCAGCTGAAGGGCATAGTCCAAAGGGCAGGGATAGGGAGGGCCGTCATGTAGCGAGGGTTTCTGTGAGGGACAGAAAAGGGACGGGAAAGGGAGACGGGAGTGGAGGACCCAGAGGAGAAGGGAGGGGGAGGGGAGAATAGACCAGAGCTGCACGTGGGCCGTGGGTGAGGCATGGGGGACAAATGGCAGGTTTTCCCCTGAGGGCCCTGCTGTGCCCAGTGGCTGAGGGGACAGTGCTGCCCTGGGTCTGTGGGGATGAGGGAGCAGCATCCTGCCAGTGAAGGAACAGTTTCTCGGTTTGGGGCCTAAAGATCCTTCCGCCCAGGAGGGCTTGGGCATGGCCCTTTAGCAGGCTGGCTGGGCCTCCCAGAAGTGCCGACCGCCTGGGGCCCCGCATCTGGCCCTCTTGTCAGACCTGCCCTCGGCCGTGTCCCACTTTGACATGGTCTTCTCTGCTAAGGCCGGTAAACGGCAAACGTCCCGCTCTGGGAAGGCCTTACTTTTCTTTGATCTCTTTTCTACCCAACAACCTAGCTGTCCCCTGTGGCCTGCCCCCAGCCACGCATGACTCATAGCACGGGGCAAACAAACCCCGCCCACTGAGGCCTGTGCAGCTCCTTGCCCACAGATAGCTGCGCCCCCAGGGAGCCCACCCCACAGTTTAGCCACGAGGGCAGCAGGTACCGCCCGGGCTCATCTCTGGGGCCACCGGGGTCAGCTTGACCCACTTGGGGTGGGGGTGGGGGGTGGGGACTGAAATGTGTGGTCTCCACGATCCCATTGGATTCTCATTCTATGATTCCAAACCTGGAGAGGACCTGTGGGACGGGGCTTTAGTTTATTAGATAAAAGATCTGCTGTGAATCCAGGGACGGTGAGAAGGCAGCTAGAGAAAGGCCTCCAGGAACCTAGTCACCCATGCAGCTACCTCAGCCTTGGCGCACAGCCCCTCTGCCTGGGGCCTGCTGCCCCCCGCCCCCAACCCCGCCCCTGCCACATGCAGCGTTTCTGATGTCTTCATGGGGATCCACGTGGGGATGGGGAGGGCTACACTACTGAAGCTTCGTGTCTACCCCGAGGGAAATATTCTTTTCCATTAATCAGAGGCATTAAAGTGCCCACAGTGCACTAATTTGTGGATTGTATAGTTCAGGGGTGGAGAACGCAGAATATAGAGTAGGTGTGAGCTGGGTTTGCCTAGCTGTCAGATGAGTAACAGTGATGCCATCGCTGGTGATGACACCAGGCAGTGCCTGCCATCGGTCTCCGCTGGGCCAGTCATTACACAGAGGGCGCCCGTCAGGACAGAATGCACGATGGTATGCACGCACCCAGCAAAGTGACAGCAAACCTCCAACGCAAGCCGCCCTCCACGGCGTACGTGCACAGACACAGAGATTCCGTTTTTAAAACACAGAGCACTGCCCTTTGGCGGGGCTGCTCCAAGTCTGCGGTTTTGGGCTTGTGGGTGGAAAAGTGCTTGGCTGTCTGATTTCTAGCCTCTGAAATTGCCAGGGAGACTCTTAAAGTCCCTCTGTGGTTACTTCTCTGCAGGTGTTGGTTCATCCCAGGGCTGCCATTGGGTGGGGACTGTGGGCGGGGCCCTGGGCTGGCTGAGTGCCCCCTGGGGAAAGCTTTCAAGGCACAATGACACATTTCTGGTCACCTACTTTGCCACCCATGGGGCAAGCTGGAAAGCAAGAAGGTGGGGAAATGAGAGGGTGTGAGGAAGCCTGTAAGGGCACAAGTGCACCTGCAAACCAGGAGGGGAGACCCGGGGCGGGGCTTGTCTCCCCACGGGTCAGGGCCCTGGCTGGAGCATAAAGCCATTTGCAGGAAGGTGGGGGGCCAAGCCTCCTTGATTCCTCCCCAGGGCTGGACTTCCCCCGAGACGGAGTACGTGGAAGCCCTGGCAAGTGCACAGTCACTGGACAGGTTGTCTCTAGTGCCAGACATGCTCCGTTATAATAGCCTTTTTCTGTGACTGCTTTCAGCCTTGACAGCACAGACCACGGCAGGGTGAGGACGCCGGGAGAAGCCTGGCGTGGCGTTGAGGGCTGAGAGTGTAGCTCCAAGGGGAGCAAACGGGGCTGGTGGCCTTAGCGCAGCCGTGGGCAAACTACGGTCCGCGGGCCGGATCCGGCCCGTTTGAAATGAATAAAACTAAAAAAAAAAAAGACCGTACCCTTTTATGTAATGATGTTTACTTTGAATTTATATTAGTTCACACAAACACTCCATCCATGCTTTTGTTCCGGCCCTCTGGTCCAGTTTAAGAACCCATTGTGGCCCTCGAGTCAAAAAGTTTGCCCACCCCTGCCTTAGCGTCTGTGGGACAGATTCCTGGCCTGAGGACCACGTCTGGCTGCAGATGCATTTTGATTTGAAAGCACCAGATGTTAAGTGAATTGAGTGCCAACGTCTCAGGTCTGCAGTCCGCCTCCCGCCCCCGCCCTGCCCAGCCTGCCTGCCTCACATACTCAGGTTTCCCGGACTGAGCGCACAGGCCTCGGGGCGCAGGACTCCTGCACTTTAGACAGCCTGGCCTCCATGTACCTGTTTTGTTTGGGCACCAACAGAAAGGAGGCTGCCCCTCCCCTCCCTGGGGAAAGGACCCTTCCTTCCATCCGCCAGGGCCCAGAACGCCTTCCTACGCCCTCACCTGAAACAGGTAGTCTCCAGGCGGCACGTCGGTGATGTCCACCCACTGGCAGTCGATGTCATGGCGGTACACGTCCCAGCAGCCCATGGTGATGCCCTGCTCGCCAAAGTTGGCACACTCGTAATTCTTCTGGATGTCTGCAGGCAGGTGCCGAGGGAACCCGTCACCAGGCACACGTGGTGCCTCCGCCCTCTGTGCCACCCTCCCCACAGGACCTCAAACAGCCCTGCTGGGTGCGTGACATCCCAGACCCTGCCCTCAGTGTCTCACTTCCTTCCCCAAGCTCCCCAGCCTCAGCTTCATCAGGGCTCAGCATGCCACCCCATTGTGTGGTGTTTGATCCCCTATCTTTCAATAGAATCCCTTACCCAATTTCCTACCCACATCCCAGCCAGGGTCTCCCTCCTCCATGAAGCCTTCCCTGGCCACTATGGCCCACCTTGGCCTTTCTGAGGAACCATTGGCCTGGGAACGAAGCTCATGCTTGTCGGGAAAAGCTGTGACCTTTAATGTTTAGCTTACTGTGGGGTCATCTTGTCTCTCTCTGGACAATCAGCACTTGAATTTGGGCTCAGGTCTGGTTTGTCTGTCTGACCCTTACTGGGCCAGCGGCTCATATGGCACACAGTAGGCGCTCAAAACCCACATCAGTGGCGGCCACATTTATTGAGAGGCTGCCACGTCGGACACTACTCGATGCACTGGGTGTACCGAGAAGAATCCGGTATCTCCCCTTGAAGAGCCCAGGCATGCCGGGAGGGCAGGTGTGCCCACAGTGCCGGTGGGCGGCCTCTTAGCAGTGTGAGCAGGGTGCTGCCTCTGCCTGGGGGAGCTGAGAGTCTGGGAGTTGCAGACGGGCTCCTTTGAGCTCCAACTTGAAGGGTAAGAGCCTGTGGGGCAGGGGCACTTGGATTTGGGACACAGGGAGAATGGCTGTGGCAGCCAGAGTGGGAGGGGACTATGTCTCTGGTCCAAGGGTTAGAGCCTGACCAGTGCCCATCAGCATAACTCTGGGGATCCTGGCGCCTTTATAGCCAGGCCTTGCCCACACCCCGAGTGTAGCCATGGAAGCCCCCATAGAGAAAGGTCATGTGGGGAGTCAGCAGTGGCCAGGGTCCAGCATCACATCTGGGCTCTGGGCTGGGTGGGCACAGCCGTTAGGGCATGGCGTCCCTCTGCAGCCCCCCCAGCACCCCCACAAAGATACCTCCTTCACATTCCGTGTCCTCCAAGCAGAAGCTGGCCTTGTGGCCCTCAGCCACCTTGGTGCCATTGAGGTTCAGGAGATCGTAGTGGGTGAACACTTCCATGCTGTGGTAGTGCCTGGGGCGGGAGACAGGGCCGGGGAGTCAGTTTGGGGAGCAACTGCCGTCTGCAAGCAACTGCCTGGCTGGCGATTTGCTTGTGGGGACACCTTGAGTAGCGTGGTCCAAAGGGGTGGCTGATGGGAGAGGAGGGGTGATGGCATAAGGTGGTACCAGGGTGTTTACGTGGGGTCCAGAGTGAGGCAGCAGCTCCTGGGCCTCAGTTCTCTCATCAGCTAAATGGGAATAATAATGAACGGAATGCATGGGGTGCGGGAATTAGTGAGATGAATGGATGAGCACAGGGCCTGGCATACAATAGCTCACTAAACTAAGGTATCTGTTCTGAGTGCCTCTAACACCCCCTTCCCCCTCCAGCACTCCAGTGGCTCTCACAGCCCCTTCCTACTTGGTACCCATCCCGTAGACTAGTAAAAGTTACTGTTCGATGTCTTTTGAAAACGTTTTGAAGTGGGAATATGGTGGAGAGGGAGAGAAGAGGATGGGGAGGGTCCGTGGAGTAGGGGAGAGGCAGACGAGCAGGCCCTAACGTGTCCCAGGGACAGGCCGGCAGGAGCGGGAGCAGGGTGCAGGGTGCAGGGTGCAGGGTGGTCAGCCACAGCTGGAAGTGAGCAGCAGGAAGTCTGTGCTCCCTGCACGGAGCAAATGCACACGAGGGGCCAGGCAGCTGTGGAGGGAGCGAAGCCGAGGAGGGGTTGCTGTGCAGCCGGCTCCCTGTTTACATACAGCGCCCCTTCTCGCTGGGTGGGGATGGGAGGAATTAAGAACAGATGCAGATTCCTGGAAAGTGATGCGTTTGGTGCAGAGCGCACGAGGGGAACGTGGCTGCCGGGGGCTCTGAGGCACTGGCTGGCCCGGCCGTCCTGAGCTGCAACGTGTGTCACAGTCTGCAACTACCGAACACGCTCGCCTCCCTCTCACAGGGGACATCTGGGAACGGGGGAAATGGACAAGGCGCCAAGGCACGGGAGCAGGAGCCCTTGTGTTGCCTACACATGACCGGAGTTGTCTCCTCGGGAAAAGAGAATGGTAACACGGCCCCGCCTCAGGAGTAGGATAGATCAGCAGGAGACAGTGCAGAAATGCCTAACCCTCGGCTGTGACAGAGGGGTACGCAGTGCCTGTCCACTCTCTCCTTATTGCTAACCTTCCCTTAGTAAGAGGAGGAGTATTTTTATTATCACCACCGCTACCATTCCTGCCATTATTCCCAGGCCCACGGTAGCTTCTCCCCGCCCAAGCCGCCGTGGCTGGCCTCAGGCTCCCTCCGCTGGAACTGGCGCAGCAGAGGACCGAGGGAAGAGGGGAATTAGAAGGGTAGCTTTTCAGAGAGGAAATTAGAGGTTCTTTTCCTCTTCCTCCTGTGTTTGCCTTTGCTGAAAATAATGTCATAAGTTCCTACGCTGGGCTTTTCCCAGGTCACTCATGTTTCTGGGTAAACGAAGCCGAGCCAGGGCCACTGGCACATTCACAAGGACACATTCTGTGGCAGCTGAGCGATGACTCTGAAAGTCTCTTTTGGCTCCTTGGAGGAGCAAGATGAGGCTGAGGTCTGACTCATTGCCTAAAACATGTCTGCATCTTTCTGAGAACAGCTTCTGTTACCCTGTTTACCAGCTGGAAGACGGAAGAGAAATAGGGTTATGTTCCGTTGTCTAAACAAAACTCAGACGGAGACCACAGACAAACTGTTGTGAGGCTGACCTCCTCCCACTCCCCCTGCCTCTGTAAACTTGATTTAAGTCTTCCCCAGCTCTTCAGTTTCCCCATGAACCCCGGGGATGAAACAGCTGGTTTGAGCCTCCCAGCTGTAGCTCGCTGCAGTCTGAAGCCCCTCTGCCTTGCCTCTCCAGCATGTGGACACCACCCCTGGGCCACGTCTCCCTCCCAGCTGGCTGGCTGGAGGGCCCAGGGCACCCCACCCCCTCACCCATGCATGCCCCACCCTGGAAGGTGGGAAGGTGCATCCTGGTAATGAGGGTTTATACTCCCTCTTCCCAGGCTGAGGTGCCCTAATCTTTGGATGTCTGAGAGGAGAGGTAAAGACAGGAAAACTTTGCTTGGAAAGAAATACCAGAACACTAAGGAGACAGAATAATGTGACCCTTGATGGAGCCATTGTAAGATGGATAAAGGAAGGACGGCCTCTGCCAAAAGACTCGAGCCCAGTGTTTGAGGAAGGAGTCTGGGGTCCCTAACAGTGATCACCCCTCTGTGTCATCTTGGGGCTTTCAAAGAACATAGCCCTGTTTCTCATTGCAGGACCAATTCAACTGGGAGCGATGGCTTTCCTCATTTGCGCTAATTCGAACCAGGGTTCTCAACTTTGGATCCAGGGATGGGCTCAGAGTATCTGTAGATCTGCTGAGCCAGAATGTTAAATATTCTAGAAAAAAATAATTTTTTTGAGTGGAGGAAGGGCTAGCTTTCATCAGACTCCCACAGGGACCCCATAAAGGTTTGGGGCCAGGAGTCCTGTAGAAAGGCCTCCCGCAGAGCCTGGGGAGTCCCCAGAGCTCTGGGGGCTGGGCGGGGGCTCCCATGCTCCCCGGATCCTATGGCCACAGGTTCTCAGTTCTGGACCAGCAGGGGAGGTCTGAAGGGACACATGCTCAGCCACATGTCTTCCCCGCCCAGCCTCCCAAACCATTTACTGGAACATGTGTAAGCAAGGAAATGACAGACCCCAGGAAAAGCAGGGGCGGCGATCGGAGCAGCACTTCCTCGATTCCCCTGGTGCTTTCTCAGAGAAGAGCCAGCATATGTCGCACAGACACTCGGGCCATGTAATGTCTGGGTGGACCGTCATGTGTGGGGCAGAGATGCAATTATCTTCCACTTATAGACGCACAGGCAGCGTCCGCCCGCAGGCCCAGGCCTCCTCCATGTGTTCCCCATGGAAATCAGGCACCAAGGCGGTCATGACTCTCATTTTACCCTTTGCCTTCCACCCTTCATGCTTCCGTATGAAAAGCACAAATTCTTTGGCCGATGATAACTTTGAGAACATAGGGACAGTCGTTATAAAGGAAAACTGGCAACCCTACGTTCTGCCCTAGTCCTTTCTTTCGAAATGAGTTGAACAACGCTATCCCCAAACTGATTCGAATGTGACTAGGCCCTCAGTTGTTCTGTGATAAAGCAGACAGGTTTCTGATGGAGGGTCAGCGGAGGGGACAGAAAGAGCACACACGTTGGGGTCAGACAGGCCCGAGTGGGGTTCCCTGCCTAGTAACTTTTTGTGTCTCACTAACACGGAGCCTCCGTTTCCTTACCCCTGAAAATGAGGGTGCCCCGTGCCTGGCACTTAGAGGGGGTCCCTAACAGCGATCACCACATTATAGGGCAGGAAGGACGCCTGGAGATGAGTTAGACCGGGCTTCTCAGACTGTGGTGTGCACACAAGCGCGTGGTGATCCTGTTAAATTAGATTAGAATGCACCGGGCCCCGGGGCGTAGCAGTGACGGCAGACACGTCAGCCCATGGCCTCGCTGTGAGAAGCAGGGACCACGTGCCAAAGCTCTGCTGTGTAGATGGGATTCTGAGGACAGAGGCGGGTACTCACTGGACCCACGCCTGGGCCTGCCTCTCTTCCTTTTCAAAAGTGTGCTCCTTCTGTTCCCTCTACCTGCCCAGCCAGGTCTGAGCAGGAAAACATGAACAAGCAGGGGCAGTGGGCTCTGAATTAGAGTAAGAATCAAGGCAAAGAAGAAAAAAAAAAAAAAGGAAAATGCAGGAGATGAATGAGGTGGCTTCTGTTGGTTCCAGCTAGAGCTGGCTCCAGGATTTCACTCTGCTCTTGTCCAGGATTTACAGCCCTGGGATCAGACCCACAGACGGGGGCCTGGAAGGGACAGCAGAGGTCCTGGGTGATGTGGCCCAGATGTCCTGACACCACACAGCTTGTTAGAGGCACAGCGGGGTTGAGAGACCAGGTCTCTGGACTCCTGGGGTTAGAACACTTTTCTCCAAACCCACTGTCTTCCTAGAAATATTTAAAACACATACTGGTATTTAAAATATATTTCTAACTGAACCTAGAGTCCAATCATTGCAGATCCTCAAGCACCCTGTAGAGGACCAACCTCCTGTGGACACACTTGAACACTGCTGACAGGTCAGTGGAGGGGCATGGGGTACTCAAAACCAAGTCTCTTTCCTAGTGTTAGAGGCATGGGAGGCAAGAGAGAATGGGCTCAGGGAAGGTGGGGTGGGCCAGGGCAACTGGGAGTGGAGACTGGCAGGCCAGTATGGCAGACCGACTCCCTCCAACTTAGGAACCCCAGCCCCCTGGACTGTGAGGTGTCTCTGTGACCCTGTGATTCTCAGCCCCATCTGGGCCTTGCAGACGGAAGGGAGGCCTCACCTGTGGCAGTCATGCCAGATCCACGCATGGCGGCCGTTCTTGGGCCGGAAGTCGGACTGGCCGTTGTTGTGGATCTGGGAGGAAAAGCGCAGCAGCCGCCGGTGGCCCGTGGTGGGGTTGGTCTGGGCAGCCGAGGCCGAGAGGCAGTTCTCCTCCATGGCGCACTGGAGTATGAACATGGGCCGGTCCTCCAGGTAGGTGCTCTGCTGGACAATCTCCGCATTGAGGACCAGGTCAGGGGCGGCTGTGGAGGGCAGACACTGTGCTCAAGCAAGACCCGAGACCCCTCACCCCTTCCCAAGTATCTGACTTCTGATTCCTGAACTGAGACAAACCCCTGTCCCTGCCTGCCTACCACCACCTTCTGGAACTGACTCGCGGTCTCCCTCTCTCAAGGTCACCATCCTTGAGGAACACCAGCCCACCTTCCTCTTCCCCTTCTCTGAGCGTCCTGTTGGACGCCTCGGCAGGTATCAGTGCAGATGGGCAAAACATTGGAAATTGTGCAATCTTTAACGGGTCCATTAGGTTTCATTATATTATTCTCTCTGCTTTTGAGTAGCTTGAGATGTCCCATATGAAAAGCAAATAATAATAAGGATGATGACAAACAATAACAATGTTCTCTCTACCCAAAAAGAACCCTCTAATACAGTGGTTCTCAACCTTCCTAATGCCGTGACCCTTTAAGACAGTTCCTCATGTTGTGGTGACCCCCAACCATAAAATTATTTTCGTTGCTACTTCATAACTGTAATTTTGCTACTGTTATGAATCGTAATGTAAATATCTGATATGCAGGATGTATTTTCATTGTTACAAATTGAATATAATTAAAGCATAGTGATTAATCGCAAAAACAATATGTAATTATATATGTGTTTTCCGATGGTCTTAGGCGACCCCTGTGAAAGGGTCGTTCGACCCCCAAAGGGGTCGCGACCCACAGGTTGAGAACCGCTGCTCTAATATGTGGGTCCGATTCTTTTGGGAGTGATATAGATCTATTTTCCAATGTGTGTAATATTGTATGTAGATTTAGTCTTTTTGCCAATATCTACTTTTCTTTCATCTGCTTTTATTTTATGCTACCTTGAGTTTTATTTAGGTTTATGTTCTCTAAATGCCCTTTTTTTTGGGGGGGGGGAGGTGTATTACAGATAAAAATGAATTAATAAGCCATGACAGCGGTGAGACCGCCTCTCTCTGCTTGGATGTGTTCCCCCAGGGGACTGTACGGGTGATGATCTCAGGCTCTCCTCTCAGACAGGATGCAATAACTTGGGACGTCTGCCCGAAGAAGCCAGCGCTGGCATCCAGCATCCTGCCTTAACAGGCTGAGGAAATGCTGAGTGAGTCTTAAGGGCGTTGGTGAGAGAATTGAATTGACTGAACTCAAGGTTTAATCTTCTCCCTCGTGCTCCGTGATGGTAGATGACAGCGCATCATTTTTTTTTATCAAGCACCTGCATATATTCATTGTCATGTTTAATTTTCAGTTTCTAGAAAAAACAACTGTGGATCATAGTGGTTAACTAACTTTGCCAAGATCAGCAGTAAGTGGCAGGCAGGGTCTGGTCTCAGATCCTGGGCCTCTCCTGCCTCCCTGATTCATGAGGGAGCGGTTTTACAAGGCCAGGGGTGGGGAGAGTGGAGTTTGGGGATCAGGAGATGACACTCCCAAAGGCCATCCTCTGGTCCTCTCTCTCAGAATGGGAGGGAGACTTCACACCCTCAGTCATTCTGAATCTTTGCAGGGCTTCCCCTTCTATATTTTCAGTCTTTCTAGAATGCCCAGGGAGTCACCAGGAAGCAAAATCACCTCCAGGCTGTGCAACAGAAAATGACCTACAAAGGAGGGCGGAAGGAAGAAGGGAAGTTGTGTGCGCCGAGCACCTAGCATGGGCTTCATGTTTCGCTAACCTCAGAACCATCCTCCTGCTAAGAGCAAGGAGTTCTCAGCCACGTAATCTGCCCAAGTTTGCTTAAAGAGTCTACAGTGGCCCTGAGATTCGAACCCAAGGCCCCCAGACACCCTGGTTACTCCCTAACCCTAACCCACCCTGCCATCAAGCAAGGTTCTGTGGGTGGGGTTGGGGGAGTCCCTTTTGCCCCCACCTTCTCACTTAACAAGAATTAACCTCTGTGTTCCTTTTTTGCTCAGTCAATGGCAGAGGCCCCAGAGCCTTGCAAGGAATAACCACTGAGACTCTGGTCCTTTCCTGGAGCCTGGCAGGGAGGGTGGATCCGACCCCCAGGAACTCACTTTCTGAGCAGGCGACTCCAGCCCCATAATGTGCTCCGCCCTGGGGGCAGGCCACGTCCTCATCCTGGCGACAGTGCGCCAGGGACAGCTCCGTTCCCGAGCACTTCACTCCGCTCATGACCACTTTGTTGGCATTGATGTTTTCCTGCCAATACCAGGTCTCCTGGGGAATCAACAAAAGAAATGGCCAGTATGTCACCTTGAATGGTCACCTTCTTATATTCTACTAGGGGCCCAATGCATGAATTCATGCACTTTGAAAGGAACTGTGGGCTGCAAGGCTGCCGTGGGTGGGCACAGGGGCAGGTCTCAGCCTATCCTCTGCACCCCCACCTGGCCCCTCCAGCTGTGGCCCCAGGTCCCCTGTCTTCTGGCAGCCCTGCTCCCGCCACCACCACTCCCACATGCTGATGGCACTGGCTCTGCTCTCACCCACTGATGGTGCAGAGTGATTGGGCCGGTGCCATCAGCAGGTGCAAGCATCGGCTACTGCCCCAACCGCCCCTCAGGAGCAGGGGGAGGTGGAGAAGCCCTCAGGGGCAATCGGGCCGGCAGCCACAGCTCACACCCACTGACAGCGCCAAGTGATCAGGACTGGCGCCAGGCGCCGGCAGTGAGTGCAAGTGGCAGCTATGGCACTGGCAGCGGGTGCAAGCGGGGCTGTTGTCGGCAGTGGGTGGGAGAGGCAGCTACCAGCACTGATCACCCCTCAGGATCAGGGGGAGGTGGAGAAGCCCTGAGGGGCATCTGGGGCTGGCAGCCACCGCTCGCATCCGTTGATAGCGCCGAGCAATTGGGGCCAGACTTCTGTTCTAATTAGCATATTACGCTTTTATTATTATAGATCATCGTTCAGCCTCACAAAAGTCTCAACGCTTTATGATCCCATTTGCCAGATGGAGATAACTGAGGCACCAAGAAGCACTTACCCAAGCCATGCAGTTTGTTGTGGCAGAGTGAGTGAGACTCAAGGTCTTCTGACCATGAGCATTGGAGTCTGTCACACCCCCCTCCACCCTGGAGAGCATTGCTAAAGTAGCTTTGGTCAAACAACTGTTCAGTGCTGTGTGTCAGGAATGGCCGGCACCTGCAACTCATGCTGCCATTGACTCATCCTGAGCCCAGGGCAGACATTACTAATCAATCACGCCACTCTCCTCTGAGTCTGACTACGATCTCAGAATCCTTCTCAACACAATGCCCCAGGAAGACACTACCAACTGATCAGAACGGGCAGGAGAGAAGAAATGTATTCACATATGGCAGTAGCTAGTTTGCTATCCATACATATAGAGAACCTGACTATACATCCCTCATCCTCTGGATAGAAAACTGGGGCCTCGAGAAGGGACAGATACCAGATGCAGGCTCAATGCACAACCCCAGCTGAGGCCCTCATGTCTTAGGAATGGGCTGATAAGGAACAAAAATAGCCAGACAGCCACTATGTGTAATGAGCACTGTTTTCTGCTCTCTTGAGAGAGACAGTGCCCTGGCTTGTCACAGGCGGTATTAGCGGAGACGCTGTGCTGCCCAGGGAGCCGGCTCCCGGAGGGTGTGGGCAGCAGTGCCAGAGGCCACGGGGCAGCCCTGCTCTGGGCTCACTACCTTCCCAGACCTGGCCGGCGGTCAGGCTCAGCAAGGCTGCCAGGCTTCTTCCAGGTCTCGCCCTTAGAATCCCTCTTCCCTAGCAGGGCCACCTGGGCACGGGAGCTGGAGTCGGGATTAGCAAAGCGGGGGGCGGGGGTGCTCCAGCCATTCTCCTGCTCTGTGAGAAGCTTAAGGAAAGTGTTTGGAGCCAGGGGCCTCTGGACCTGGGACTGTCCATTCCAAGTCACAGGAGGAAAAGTGAGGCCGGGAAAGCTGGCTGCTCTGCCCAGATCGTTGTGCCTTGGCTGTTGGGACTACAGCTGGGAAGATTCCAGCCTTCTGTCTCCTGCCCCACCCCAGCCTCTTTCTGACACTCTTCTGCTCTGGGGGTGCCTGTTCCCTCACAGTAGGGTCCGGAGGAAATAATTTTTGAAGCCAAACGCTACTTGTCTTCTTCTGCTGCCTTTCGGTAGGGCAGGAGCTTGGCTGCCCTCCGCTGAGTCACTCTGAGGAAGGGGCCGGGAGGAAGGTGCAGCGGCTGTGACAGGGTTCTGGACGGGCGTGGAAACTTAGCAGCCGATCAACCCGAGAACGCATGAGCAGGGGCTACAGCTGGGCCTCCCAGGGAGCAAGCTAAGGCCCGGGGTGTGTTGGGCCTCGGCCTGGGTGGTGTCCACTACCCCGTAGGACTGAGCTGCTTCTCTCTGCAAAGGGCATAGAAGGACACCCCAAGATTAGCCCTCGGCCTAGGGTGAATCCCAGTGCAAACTGAATGGACTGGGAAACGAGAGTCTAGGCCAGCCGTGGGCAAACTATGGCCCGCGGGCCGGATCCGGCCCGTTTGAAATGAATAAAACTAAAAAAAAAAAAAAGACCATACCCTTTTATGTAATGATGTTTACTTTGAATTTATATTAGTTCACACAAACACTCCATCCATGCTTTTGTTCCGGCCCTTCGGTCCAGTTTAAGAACCCATTGTGGCCCTCGAGTCAAAAAGTTTGCCCACCCCTGGTCTAGGCCCTCGCTCTGCAGCGAGGAAAAGCAGAGGGTGACCCACCCCGGGACTCAGAGTCCTGAGGGGCAGAACTGAGGCGGGGAGGAGGTTGCTGCCTCCCACCCAGCCCGTGGCACGAGGCTCTCCTTCTGGGTGGCTGGGGAAGGTCCGTGAGGAACAGGGGCTGACTAGAGGCAGGAGGATCAGACTGGATGGAGGGGCGGAAATCCGGGCTTCTCACCTGGAAGGCGTTGCTGGCGAACCCCAGGCCCAGCTGCCGGCAGACCACCATGGCCTCCACGATGCCCCAGTTCTCGCCACACACGGTCCCCCATACAAGGGACCCATTCCTCTCCACCAGCACCTCCACCCGGCCCTCGAAGGGATTTCGGCCCCCGTTCAGGCGCAGCTGTAGAGAGAAAGGCAGGCATGGTCACCAGGAGGGATGGAGAGGAGCAGCCTCACTGACCTGCCACCGGTCCCAGTTCTCCCATAGGGTCCTGCCTGGGACACTCAATTCAACAGCATCCCCCAGAGCCATGCTCTTACACATTAGGTCCCGCCGCAGGCATCCTGGGGCCCTCGCCTGTGTAGCCAGGAGGCCCCTGGACCGCCACTGGGTACCACAGCAGAACCTGCCTCTTGGAAGGCGATGCCTCATTAATCAAAGCTCAGGTCAGGTGCTTGCCTGGCTCCCCGCTGCTCCCCTGGAGTCCACCAGTGGGGAGCTACTCTTAGAATCAGACACATGATAGGACGCGCTCAGGGTCCCTAAAATGTTAGAATTCCCTGAGATTTCTTCTAGAACCCTCTTCTCGCACACCCTCTGCTTGGCTGGTTCCAGCTCCTGATCCTGTCTCCTCCCATAGTGCCCCCTGCTGCCCTCTCCACCCAGAACTCTCTTCTGGGACCAATAGAGCTAACTGCCTATTAGATAGTTACACTTGGTACCTCTGAGACTCCCAATCCGAACTTGTCCTCTTTTCTCTTTCCACCTAAACCTGTGCTGTATGTTCCCTATTTCAGCTAAAGTCACTACCATCTGCCCCAGGGCAGCAAACTTTGTACAAAGGCCAGCCGTGAAATATTTTAGGCTTTCCAGGCGTGTGCTCTCTGTCATAAGCACATCTCTGCCATGTGGTGTGCAGGCAGTCACGGACGACATGCAAATGACTGGGCGTGGCTGTGTTTCAATAAAGCTGTATTTACAAACACAGGCGGAATGATGGGTCTGGCCTGCAAGCTGTAGTCTGCTGATCCCTAATCCATTCTGTTATTCAAGCCAGAAATCTGGGAAGCATCCTCAACATCTCTCTCTCTCTCTCTCTTTCTCTCTCTCTCTCTCGTGCCCCACATCCCGGTGGAGTTATCTCCCAAGTCTCTTTTCAGCCCACCTACTTCCCTCCCTTCTCCCGGGCACCACCATCTCTCGCCTCTACTCTTGCTTTCATCCCCGTCAAAGGAAAGAGAGAAACCTTTAATATAATTAATATAACTCACAGTATCCATGAGAAAGAAGCAAATCATGAGTCCAGAGAAGCCCATTCTACTCAGAAGCCAGTCATTTTTAAGAAGCACATGCTCCAGTCACTCCCCCGCTTAGAACAGGTGAGTGGCTTCCCAGGGCTCCACTGCTCTCCTCTGCTGCCTGTCCCATGTCTCCCTCATCCTTCTCCCCGACCTCCAGGCGCGTGGGCCTTCTTTCAGTTTCCGTGGCTCCCTAACTGTCTTGACCATGTCCCACGGTAAGTCACACATTTCACATGGAGCCTACTACACACAGAGGCCCTTTCCTGGCTGATCCTGTTCCTATTTCCAACTTCATACCCACCGACATTCCCCTCCGACCGGGGTCAGTGCCCCTGACATTCCATGGCTCCCACTGTGGTGAAAGCCTGACCGTGGGTTTTCTCTTTGTGCCAGGCAAGCGCCTGCCTTAGGCTTTGATTACCGAGGTGTCTCCTTCCAAGAAGCCCATCTCAAATGAGCACATTGCCGGCCATTCGACTAGATGATAAAGAGGCAGGCCCCTCTGCCCACGGGGGTCCCTTTGTTTCAGGGATCTTGGTTGATTTTTATAACTGACCATTTGGGCCACTTGTTTTTCCTACCTGTGCTTTAAAACCCATCTCTTATTTTTACAGCCAGCAATAAAAAGCGAGCCCACAGAACCCTTGGTCCCCACCCTTGACCCCAATAAAATCAGAACCCCCGCCCTGAGCACTCTCTCTCTCTACCTGTGACCTCACGGTGTGGCCCCAAGTGTGCTGTGTAATTTCAGTCTGTGAGTAATAAACCTGTACGTGTTCAAAAGTCTCTGATGGTTATAGCTGAAGGGCATCTTGTAATCATAACAAGAACCACAGGGGCCAGTCCAACCACAACACTGGCTACTGGTAGGCTGAGCCCGGCACAAAACACCTACACATCCCCTTAGCACTTGTGACAGTCATACTTAAGCTACCTCACAATTTGTTTAAGGTCTGTCTCCTCCCCTAGAATATAAGATCCAAGGGCAGAGCTGATTTTGTCTGTTTTCCTGTGTGATCAATATCAAAGACAGCACCTCAGGAATGTTAGGTACTGCACAACCATTTTTGCAATGAACGAATAAATAATCAGTCTTACAGAATGGAAGCATGGACCAACTTATATGAGCTCAAGCAGGGAGATCTGACATTTGGGGAAGGGTTCTAAAAATGCAAACCTTAATCCAAATACAGTACCTTGTTACCCTTCATGCTACTAACAATTCATGCCTTTGGGATAAGGCATGACACCTCCAGGAATCCCCAGCACCTCAAGCTGCCTGGTCAACAGTTCTTAGCAACAGCACAGCAGCCGACCAATCCTTAGCTACAGCATGGCCCTTGGGGCACAGGTCTTAATTCCTGTTATGGACTTAAGGGCTGCAAGGTCAATAGGTCAGCCGACAAACGGACAAGCCAAGGGCAGCCACAGTGTTCCATCTACCTCCCAGGGTTGTTGAGTAGATGAATGAAATGAGATAGTTCACGGACAGAGCTCAGACAGGGCCTGGCACTCAGGAAGTGCTCAAGAAATGTTAGGCACCGTCTTAGCTATGATCATTATCAGCTGCGAGTCCCATCAGAAAACAAAACGCTCCTCAGAGCAGATGGAAGGGCTCAGACAGGCAAGAGGCCTGGCCTTCAGGAGGCCGACACTGGTCTTCCTGATGCCTCTGGCTCGGCTGTGGCTGGATAGACAGCCAGCTCCAAGTTTGTGGCCTGCATTAGCCATTTCCCGAAAAGTCAACTGATTTTTCTAGGAATCATCTCTCTTAGCTCCTTATTGCTAGAGGGGCAAACTGAAGCCTCAAAGAGATTAAGGAATTGGCTAGTGAGTGATTGTTATAAACTAATGTGTGCCCCTCCCCCCTCCAATTCATACAGTGAATTAATATGCTAATCCCTAATGTAACTGTATTTGAAGAGCCTTTCCAGAGGTAATTAGGTTAAATGAGGTCATGTGGGTGGGGCCCTAATCCAACCTGACTGGTGTTCTTACTAGAAGAGGAAGAGAGCCGAAACCGGTTTGGCTCAGTGGATAGAGCATCGGCCTGTGGACAGAAGGGTCCCAGGTTCGATTCCGGTCAAGGGCATGTACCTTGGTTTCGGGCACATCCCCAGTGGGAGGTGTGCAGGAGGCAGCTGATCGATGTTTCTCTCTCATCGATGTTTCTAACTCTCTATCTCTCTCCCTTCCTCTCTGTAAAAATTAAAAAAAAAAGAAGAGGAAGAGACACCAGGGATGCACAAGCGCAGAGGAAAGGCCACGTGAGGACACAGTGAGAACTGAAAGCCCAGAGGCCTCAGGAGAAACCAACCCTGCCAGCACCTTGATCTTGGACTTCCAGCCTCCAGAGCTGTGAGACAATAAATTTTTATTGTTTAAACTACCCAAGTCTGTGGTATTTTGTTCTGCCCGTGCCAGCAAACTAACAGTGATAAAACTCAGGAGTCTCTGCCCAGTGTTGTTGCCAGTATGAATGGGGGCCCTAAGCCGGCCGTGCAGAAGCCTGACCGTCTGCTGGTGCAGCCCGTAGGGATTTCTTTCAGAGGTGACTATCCTCATTCCCTTCCCAGGGGGCAGAAACAGCAGATCTAGGTGTAAAACTCTCCCACACGCTGTAGCTGAGAGCAGGGGCCACCTCTTAGAGCCTGGAGGGCCCCCGGAAGGGTGGGGGCTGTTTGTGCTGGGAGTTTGGTGCCTCTGCTGCCATCGCTGGGCCTGTCTCAGCAATTCCCACCATAAAATAGTTCTGGAAAATTTCACTTCCTTTGGCCCAGATCTTTCATTTGGGTTGAAAATCCCACTCCACCCAACTCCAATCTGTCGGAAGTGAATGGTGCCACAGCAAGCCAGACTCAGCGCAGTCGGCATTTACAGCTGTTATGGCTATCAGAATGCTTGCGGGGCAATCACAGATGCCGGCCTTCCCTCCGCTGTGAGGCTGTGGCCCACACTCCTGCTCCACACCCCAGCAAATGTGTGGGCTTGGGCCGAAGTGCTATTGGGTGGCCCATTTTTGGCCCTGTTTGGGCAATGAGTCGCACAAGCTCAGTAGCACCTTTTGGGATTCTGGGTGCCAAGGTCAAGAATCCCTCTGTCCCAAGAAGGAACTCAGCTGGGGGAAACCCGCTCTGCCACCCCTGAAGGTGGCCCATGGTTTGGCCTCGTTTTAAAAAATTTTTATAAAAATATATA